CTTCGCCAGATTGTGGAGAAGGCAGGTGGCGACCCGAGACAGGTTGGCTTGCATTCGTTGAGAATCGGGGCCGCCACCACGTTGGCAGCAGGAGGAGACGTACCGGACAGAATTATACAGAGAGGGTAGATGGAAGGAAGGTTCGGGTACGTTTAAAATATATACTAGGAATAATATGGTGGACGTAGACATGGTATCCCGTAAACTAGCGAAGGGGAAGAAGACGGAGCAGAAGAAGGGTTAGGACACACGAAGGTACGGGCAAAGGGACAGAATCCCATCCCACTAAACGTCGATGTTGGTGGATGTCAATGGTATGGAGTAGCATTGGGGGGTCTCGGTGTACTGAGACGGCATTTTGTTAGGGCCTGCCAGTTGACATGGAAGGGGAACTTGGACTCTGGAGGAGAGAAGGAAGCGACCGGTGTCGTCCCCTCGTTATTGGCCAGAGAGTTACCTTCCAGACTTCGTGGAAAATAATAATAAAAATGACACTTCGGAAAAATACAATAAAGCGAGTATTTCAGATGGATCCAACCTAAGGGGGGAGGAGTCTGAAATTGGTGTTTATTGGAGTTGATGAGAAGTGAGCATTTATTATTATGTGCCAAAGAGGATGTCTGCGTGCGTATAGAAGAGGAGTCATGCGCACCGAGAGAAGGCAGCTGCTCGCAGGACATTCCGTTTGCGCCCGATCACGTTGAAGCATCATCAGTGCTGGAGCACAGGGACTGCTAAACGTACGAGTGGACAACACTGCCAGCTACTACCTGTTAAGACGTTCTGTTCCGGGGAGCTAGTGTTGTCGTCTTTCCCACCCACGCCACCCTCGAATTTTTTTCCGAAAGAGGGGGGGGGGAGGGGGGGGGGGGCGTACTCATTTGTTGCTTGCCGTAGTCATTTGACCATTGACCACGCGTCCCTTTCGAGACGGAGCACCGTTCCTACACCTACTAGAGACACCACCAACATTTGGGAGCTCTTTACGTTTCTGCCACAAACTACATAAAAATTTCTTGCACAACTTATCCCCGTCCTCTAGGGCCTCTTGTGCCCACCATCTATCCCCAATTATCGCGATCGTTTTTTCGCTGTTGTCTAATTTACCAAACTTGTCCATGTCACACCCTCTCTGTCTCATTTCCTCCTCGAGATCCTCTCTTTCCTTCCTGTACAACTCACACTCCCCAACTATGTGGGGTCTACTCTCCTCCGATTTGCCACATGGACATGTGTGTCTATCCTCCTCTTCCTCTCTCCTACGGCTGGTATACCTCTTCCTCCGTTCTGGCAAGTCCAGATCGCCTACTCGAAATTGCAATTTCAGCTTTTTCGCATAGTCCATGGGGCCGTCCAAGTACTTCTTCATCCCTATCCCTTCTTTCAACTTCCCGTATATCTCCAAGTGGTCTTCGCTTCGTACCTTCTTCCGAAGGGTTGTCTCCTCCCTACTCTCTAGCATCTCCTTGAGGGGGGGGGGGGGGCGAAATCCTTTTTTTCTTGCCCCAATCCTTTAACCCTTTACCACCCCCCCCCTTTCCAAAAGGAACACCCTTCCCACCCCCACCAAAAACCCCCCCCAAATTTGGGAACCCTTTTCCTTTTCGCCCCAAACCCCAAAAAAATTTTTTGGCCATTTTAACCCCCCCCCCCAGGGCCCCTTGGGCCCCCCCATTATCCCCAATTTTTCCGAATGTTTTTTTCCTTTTTTTTAATTTAACAAAATTGTCCCTGTCCACCCCCCCCTGTCTCATTTCCCCCCCGAAAACCTCTCTTTTCTTCCTGTACAACTCCAACCCCCCAAATATGTGGGGGCCCCCCCCCCCCCATTTTCCCCCAGGACAAGGGTGTCTTTCCCCCCCCTCCCCCCCCCTACCGCTGGGAAACCCCTTCCCCCCTTCTGGGAAGGCCAAAACCCCCAACCCAAAATTCAATTTCCCCTTTTTCCCAAAACCCCAGGGGCCCCCCAAAAACTTTTTCCTCCCCAACCCTTCTTTCAACTTCCCGAAAAACCCCAAGGGGGCCTCCCTTCCTACCTTCTTCCTAAAGGTTGTCTCCCCCCCTCCCCCTAACCTTTTCTTGAATTTCTGCTTAAAACCCCAAACCCTTCCGGGTGCACAGTCTCCTCCCCGTTTCCTATTTCCTTTCTAACCTTTCTTATCCCCTTGTCCCCTCTAATTCCCCTTTTTCCTCGGAGCCCCTTTTCCCCAACCCCCCCCCTCCCACATGGGGGGGAAAC